TCAGCTCCGCGTTCTTTTCGACGTGTAATCTCAATTCATTTTTACGAGAGAGGAGCGACGGAAAAAAAAAAAACCATTTGCGAATTTTAAAAAAAAAACGAAAGTGGCAGCAGAAAAAAAATTAAAATAATAATAATAATAATCAACAACTCATTTAACGAATTCATAATCACTTTTTTAAAAAAAAAAAAAAAACCGGACGAGTCGTCTTTAACTTAATTGAAAAATCTAATCCGACTTCGTTTCAAATAATTCGTCGCATCGACAAACAAACAAACAATTTAATTTCGAAAAAAAATGATAATAATGATAATAATAATAATAAGAAGAAGCAGAAGAAAAAACCTTTTCGAATTTTTAAAAAAAAATTTCTTTTTAATCTTGCGTCGTTCGATTCTTCCTATATATAAATTTTATCGAATTTTTTTTTTTATACAAACAAAACAAACGCGACGCGACAAACAATACGATTTCGGAACGGAAAAAATCAAACGGTTGTTCTAATAGAACAAATAATAATAATAATAATAATGACCCAAAAGACAAACGAAAAAGTCGTCGTAGTCGTCGTAACGTTTGTCGTGTAATTAATTATCGTTTATTTATTACTAACCGAATCAGGTACAACAACAACAACAACAACAACAACAATTGTTGGTGAATGACCGACACCCGACTGTTAAAACAACAATTTCAAAAGACCCCCCTTACCCTACCTCCATCTCCTCCTTCCCCCCCCTGGAGACAGTTTGTACTAGAAGAGAAAAGAAAACGAACGCACGCACCACACATCAACAACAACAAAAACAAATCAAAGTCATAGAGTAAGAAAATAATTTATGTGAAAATTCTTTGATAATAATAATAATAATAATAATAATAATAATAGTTTCGTTGATTTAGTTTAAAAATAATAATAATAATAATAATAATAATAACCGAAAGCAACGAGTCGAATAAATTATTAAAAAAAAAAAAAAAAAAAAACGAATCATTACAACCTGACGTTGAGAAAAGAGTAAGAGAAAAAGGAAAACGTTTACCAGACGTTCACCAAGGAGCAAAAGAGAGAGAAAGAGAGAGTAAAGGAGCAATAGAGAGAGAGAGAGAGAAATTGAAAATTCATTAAATAATCACGACGAAAAGCGACAAAATAAAATTACGTAAAATTATTCAGAGACGCGCGTGCTCTTTCCTCGTCTGGAAGGAAAAAAAAAATGGCCAAGACAATGAAAAAAAAAAAAAAAAAAAAAAAATTCTCGTGAGCAACCCTAATTAACGGATATTAGAAAAAAAAAAAAGTCAACCTAGCACAATCGATACCACGTGATCGATGGTGGTAAATCACGATTTACCGTTTCCTGTCGATCGATCGATCGATCGATACACCTGCAGAAAAACAAAAATATTCGAAACGTAAACGCCATCATTATTACAACCACCACCATCGTTTTCATATTCGAAAAACACGCGCGCAAAAAAAAGACGTGGAAGAAGACGACAACAACGTTGGAAAACCCTAAAAATTTTTTCAACTCGAAACAAACATAATCCCGAATTTCTTCCTTTTTTATTTTAACGAACCAAAACCTACAATTAAACATGAGCGACACGTACACACACGCACACGCACGCACACACTCAATTGGAATTCCAATGTATCGATTGATCGCATAAGTAACGCGGCGTTTAGAATTTAAAAACAAAACGAAAAAAAAAGAGTGAGAGTAAACAAAAACGCGAGTTTTCTTTTTTTTTTTTTTTCTCACACGTAACACACAAATGCCAAACAAAATGGCGGACGAGATTTAAATTTAAAAAAAAAAAAAAAAAATCGAAGGTGTTTACCCATCGGCGACAAAAATACCTTGTAAAATAATAATAATAATAATAATAATGATAATAAATAATTTTCTTTTGCTTAAAGGCTTTTGTTCAATGAGTACGAGAGAAAGAGAAAGAGTCGGTGGTACTCTCTCTCTCTCTCTTTAAAATATCTTTTGGGTCAAAACTTGGCAAAAAAAAAAAAAAAAAAAAAAAGAGAACATGAGCGCAAACGCGAATGTAAATCATTATAATCATTATCATTATCATAAAATAATTTTCATGGCGGATCAAAAATATTTTTTTTTTTTTTTGTCCTTTTCCCTACTTTTTGACTTCGCTCCCCGGGGGGGAGGGGCGGCCAATTTTATTTACCATCACGGTCCATTGGACATGTATCGATATCGAGTAGTCACCCGAAGCGACTCCTCCATCACCGGACCCCCATACTTTTCTCTCTCCTTTTCCCGCAACATTTACAACGCATAAATATTTAAATTTCACGGTTAAAATAATAATAATAATTGGAACGCACGACCAAACTCTAATTGTTTCTTTCTTTCTCTTTCTCTTTTTTTCGTTGCCTTTCTTTTCTAGGAAACGGAAAGACGGACACCTACTAAGAACGAGTTTTTCGGTCATCGACAAGTGCTTACCATACGTGGTCGGTTGGGAGGACAAACAAAAACAAAAACAACGTTAAAATCGGAATCGCCTTAAATGATGGTGGAACAACTCTGGCGAAGCCAGATGATGAGACGAATAAGGAAAAGACGTAGACGAAAAAGGGGATACGAGAACGGCAAGGACCGTAATCTCCGCGTGGGGCGTGGGGAGGGGTGGGTGGTGGTGGAAACGAAACATTTGGTCATCCCTCCAAAAATTAATTACACGTCAAAATCGTTAAAATATAAACTAAAATTACTAAAGTATTGACCCCGAGTAAGGAAAAGAAGATTTTGACAATTGACGCCCCCTTCCCACCCCTTCTTCTTCGCGCGTTTCTCTCCTTGTCCTTTCTTTTCGGCGAGTCTCCCCCCCTCCCGCATTTTCTTACGTTGTGTTTTCCTTCTTCTTCTTGTTTTCTCTTTATCCGTTTTTCCAAACCGTTCGAACGTTTACAAAAAAAAAACGAAATACCGTAATCATCATCATCATCATCATATATTTTTATTTTCCACATTTGCATGTACGAGTTGTTCTCTTATCCTCACGAACGTACGAACGAACGTACAAACGAACGTACGAACGAATCGTTTAATCTAATCTCATCGCATAATTGACACCGTGAAAAAAATTTCTTTTCTCAAAATCTCCACGTAAATAATAATGATAATAATAATAACTATTTATCTAAATCGTTTTTTCATAGACGATCCAAAGTATAGTTTTTCATTTCTTTTTTGCGAAATTTCCACCCTCCTCCTCCTCCTTCCCCTCACCCGACGGTGTCGATCTTTTAAAAGTTTCAAAACTTTCGAACGTGCGAACGCGACGCCGCGCGTGTCACGTCAGATAAACATAGAAAAAAAAAATCAAACGAATTCGTTCGTTATTTATTGCTGAATAAATCACTTTTAATTGGTCAATAATAACAATAATAATATTAATAATAATAATAATAATAATAATTACTAACAAATTTAAAATCGTCGTGATAAACGCGAAACAATAATCACACAATAATCGTAATAACCCTGAACGATTGAAAAATCGATGGGGGGAGGGGGAGGGGGGCGGGGGAAGCCTGTTGACCGTGAGTCCGTCGGCGAATCGCCATAACAAATAATGCAAAAACGAAAAGCAGACGAAATTTTCCCCCCGAATCGAATCGCCAACAAAAAAAAAAAAAAGAAAAATTTTTTTCGACCGGAAATACTCCCGACGGATTTTTCCATTTTTCTTTGGTTTCTTTTCCTACCCACCTGATCGATTTGAAAATTTGATTTTTCTCCAACTTGTTAACAGTATGTAAAAAATTTCGGTATCCGAATCCACTTACGCGCACACGGACACGCACTCACGCACGCACAAAACACAAAAATCGTGACGCGAAATTTGTTACTTTTTTTTTTTTTTTTGACAAAACGTCGACAAATAAATAAATAAATAAATATAGCGAAAAAAAACACGAAACAAATAATAATAATAATAATATTAATTATAAAGTAAAACTATTTTATCCGACGCGAAAAACAAGTTTTTGTGGTTGTCGTTGTCGTTGTTGTTGTTGTTGACGGAGCAACGTGCGCCATTCGACTAACAAACGATACGCATTCAAGCAAGCAACACATCAACGAGTACGAAATAGAAAGAGATGGAAAATGTATTCGATAGGCGTGAGTTGAATAAAGACGACGATATATCATCTCTCTCCCTCTCTCTCTCTATGCGAGGTCGGTCTTCGTTACGTTACGTTACGTATACGAGAAGAATTCGACCATTCTTTTCGGACTTTGTTATTGCTATTATTATTATTATTATTCCGATAGGAAAATCGTCGGGAGGACCGCGCGCCGCGATGATTTCGCCACAATTTTGGCAAAAAAAATCGCCGTTATTATTATTATTATTATTATTATTATTATTATTATTATTATCATTATTAATTGTAATAAATAATTCAAACGATTCAAATACAAAATTTCTCTCGTCATTTTTTTTTTTTTTTTCACGTTGAAAATCGTCGTCGTCGTCGTCGTCGTCGATTCCAAAAACAATTATCATTAATTAAAGAGTTTTTAAAAAGTGGGGGGGGGAGGGGAGGTGAGGAGACAGGAGAGAAGAACAAAATCAAATACTTACGCCAAAATTTTGTCGACGTGAGAAGAAAGGGGGTTTCCCCTCTCTCTGATTTCCTCCCAAAACAAATTAATGTTATTAAATCGCGATCGAGGGGGGGCTCCCTTCTCCCCGGCCCCCCCGAAAAAAGAGAAATTATTTTCCGATTGTTTTTATACCTTGTTCATTTGCCAAAAAGTGAAAGAAATGCATTCGTCGTTGTCGTTCCCAAAAAAAAAAATGTCGCGCAAAACAAAACCAGATGAAAATTCTTTACGAAGGTCACGAATTATTAAATAAGCAAACGATTGACGGATTCGCACCGGGCAAAAAAAAAAAAACCTCACAAAACCGGAAACGGAAAAACAATACAAAAAAAACAAATAAACACTTACTTGAGCGACGTTTTCAAAATGTTCGTGACTCTTTTGATAAACTCTCGCCTTTTGTAAATTCCTTCCGATTGCGACATTTTTCTCTAGGAAAGCTTCTCCGTGATTCGTCAACCAATCCAAAACCTGAAATGCGACATTTTTACTATCATTATTATTATTATTATTATTATTATTATTATTATTATTACTATTTTATTCAACTTCGTTCTCGTACGAACGTTTAACGTATTTTAAATAATAATGATAATAATAAAAAAAACCGTTTGAAAAAAAAAAAAAAAATTTTTCGATATGATTTTCGCGATGAATTTTCCTACCGTTTGTTCCAACCCCCTTCGGCGAAAATGTGAACTAATTTCATTTTGAAAATCACGTGATCGGTATCTTTCTTTCCCGCGCGCGATGAAATTTACATTTTCCGACATTTTTTTTTTCGTTTCGTTTTGTTTTGTTTTGTTGTCATTGTCGCCGTTTAATTTCCACAGCGTGACGTCGGGAAAATTTACGATCGTTTTCAACGAATCAAGTTTAAACGATGATAATAATAATAATAATAATAACGGTTATATCACTCGCATGCAACTTTTTAAACGTCTCGTCCTGTTTTTGTTGTACTTTTGTTAAAAATTTGACGTCACTTTGTTTGTTTGTCACAACGACGTGTCGCCGAAAATTCATTCATTCATTCAAATTATGTCACGGGAAAGAGATAAAAAACAACAACATTTCGCAACAGCAAAAATATATAAAGGGGTCAAAGGTTAAAAAGAAAAAAAATGTGGCGGTAGGTCGAAAACGATTGACTATACGAGCCCATTTATAGTCCTATAAACTGCTACTCGTTCATCTGATGACCCATAAAAATAAAATTAACAAATTATTATTATTATTATTATTATTTTAATTAATTCTGGCAAAGATCACATAATAAATAATTTACTATAAATATCAATCTTATCATCATCATCATCATCATCATTATCATTATTTTTCGCCTTACTTTTCTATAAATAATCGACCGTTTTGCCAAAATTTTACAAAGAAAAATAATAATAATTATTATTATTATTTCGCTTGACCTTAACACAATTGCCGCCATTTTTTTTCTTTTAAAATTTTTGCCGTTGTCGAAAAAATTACAATTTTGTCGCGAAAAGTTTTCAAACTTTTCGCGACAAAATTTATCGTCGTAACGCGACGTTTGAATGACGTCACAAAACTCGCGGATTTTTTTATATTTCGACTCACCTGCTTGACGTCCTCTTGAAAGAGTCTCAGTGCCAACCTCTGGTGAAGTTTTATCTTTTTCGCCTGCCATTTTGTTTCCAACGTTCTATGATGATTGAGTATTTGATGTATGACGGCGAGAACGTGACTGGCACCTTCTGAATAATCCGCTGCCGGATTACCATTTTGACGTCCGACGACTCCATCAATCGTATCGACCTGAAAACCGTTTTTTAAAAAATTGTATGTATTTACCTATTCGGAAAAAATTTCAACCCTCAACCTCACCCCAACCCCCCCCCACACTCCCGCGTTTTTTTATTATTAATTTCAAGCAAGGGGATAACGGATGACGTCGATTAGATTAATAGAATGATTGGCGATAAGTTAAATATTAAATAATTCTTAGCGAAGAAAAAAGCACAAGTAAAATAATAATAATAATTACTTACAAAACGATAAAAAAAATAGAAAAAAGAGAGAGAGAGAGAGAGAAAACATCTTTCATCACTTCCTACTTTAACGCGTACTTTTGGCGCGAAAAAAATTCAAAAGAAAAAAATTCGACGAACGACGGAGAACGAATTTCAAACTTACGTGTTTCCGGTTGCCATCGTTTCCGGGTTGATTACATATTTGCACGAGGTGATCTAACTGGTAGAGAAGTTTTTTACTCGTGCTGTGAACCTGACATAGACACCGACACCAAAAAAAAAAAAATGAGAAAAATGTTAGACAAACGGAAACAATAAACAAACAAACAAACGAACGAACGAACGAACGAAACCATTATTATTATTATTATTAATAGAGAAAATATATTACGAGGAGAGATGCCGTCGCCGCTTCTTTTTCTTTTACATCATCATCATCATCATCGTAATATAATTTTCCGAAATAATTTCACTTAACCTCATTTGGTTAAAAAAATTAAAAAAAGGTATCACGTGATTGATTTTACCATACTTTTTAATTTCCCATGTTTACCAAACGAGGTTAAGGAAACCATTCATAGAGTAAATAAATAAATAAATAAAAAGCTTTTAAGTCAATTAGTAGTAGTAGTAATAACGAAGTTTAACCGCTCCCCAAAAAAAAAGAAAAAAGAAACATTTTCCACATTTTCCACATTTTCTGAAAGAAAAAAAATAAAAACATTTAAAAGCAATTTAAACAACGTTAGTAGTAACACAAACAACATCTACCATCAGCGAAAGAAAATGTCAATTTACAAATGGAAAAATGAAGAAAAACCTTCACCGATGAAACAAAATGTTTTCCGAAATAGTACGGTACGAGTATTACACAAAAAGAAAACCCGACGACCCGGGAAAATTTAGGAGGGAAGGGGAAGGGAGAGGGGGGGAAATAAAAAGCGAGCGATGCGTAAGTTAAATATAGCTTTTCCCATTTTCCCGTTTTTTTTTTTTTTTTTAAATCTTTTGATTTACATTGTCTTTGATGACGCTCGTGATGGTGGGTGTTGTTGTTGTTGTTGTTTTTGTCGTTGTCGCGTTGTTTGTTTCTCTAATCGTTGTTGAAAGTGGCAAAGTGTGACACACTTGAACCATAACGTCCAAACCGTTCAATAGAGATTGATAAGCGTTGTAAACCTGAATGTTTCAAATAAAAAACAAAAAACTTATTAATTTAATCTTGGGTTTCCCGTGTCTCCCTTCGACTCCTCCTTCCTCGGTGCTAAAAATTAAATAAATGATAATGATGATAACCCCTCCTCCTCTTCTTCTTCTTCTCGTCACGCTTCCGTTCTACGACGACGACGACGATGACGACCCTTTACGAATTTACCATCAACTCACCTCCGTGTAAGCCTGACACATGGACTCGTACAAACTCTGATGTTGTCGTATGTACGATTCCAATATGATTATCTCGTTCGGAATGTTCAAATTGTTATCGCACGCCTGCTTCCACGTTTGCACGTTGTCCACGTACTGCTCTGCTTTCCTGTGAAACAAAACCGAGAGTTGCAAAACGGACGTTCTCTTTTCCAGCGCGGCCGCGAATTCTTTCCAAACTCTATCCAATTTCGTCGCGACCGTTCGAATGTGTTGAGACGCGTAATGATTGCTCTCAATGAGTCGACTCCCCACGTTCAGAATTTGATTTATGTTTACGTAGACATCCTGAAAATACGACAGCATTCGTTGTACGTACTGTTCCCTGAACTCTTTTTTCAAAAAAAATCATTTTCCTTTCTTTTACCATCGAACTCATTGCGAAATGACTGTGTTCCTCTTGCAATTCAATGGCGGGTTGATAAGAATGACCGATTTCGACGTAATTCATAAGAAAAACGTCACGTTTGTGACATATCCATTCGAACATCTGCGAATAAATATTTAAAGTTTTTTTTTTTAAACGATTCTCATCGATCGCAACCCCCCACCCACCCCCCCCAAAAAAAAAGAAACATATATGTTTGATAAAAAAAACTTACGCTTTATGAAATTCTTACAACAAAAAAAAAAAGAGAGAGAGAGAGAGAGAGAGAGTTTATGGTACACATAAAAATAAAAGAAAAAAGAAAAGAAGAAAAAAAAAAAGATGAGAAAAGTTATAAAGAAAGAAAAATGAAAAACTTTAACTCATAAACGTAAATAAAATGGACAGGAGAGAAAAAGGAAAAAAAAAAAAAAAAAAAAAAAGAAAAATTTTTTTTAAATATGTGACAAGCCATAAAAAAGAATGAGAGAGAGAGAGAGAGAGAAAAAAAACGACAAACGACAAACAACAAACAAACAACAACCTTTTCGCAGTCTTGTTCAAACAACCGAAGTTGAAAACATTGGTCCAATTTCATTTTTTTGTGATGCCAAAGCTGTAGCAAATGCTGTTGAGACGCGTGTATGGCTTCTAAATTTTGCAATATCTGCGGCACGGCAGACTGTAAATCCGGATTTAAAGAAACGGTACTCGCTTCGCTGTCCCTACCGGAATACCCGCTGTCGTAACCGCTGTTTCCGTCGTTTGAAAACCTGCAGAAAGAAAATTCCACGTTAGGTATTCGACAATTTTCCCCAAATGTATAGGAGAAGAAAAGCGTTTAAAAAAGAAAAACCTTCTCAACAATCTTTGACCGATCATGTCAATTTCCTCGACGGGTGCTTTCATTATTTTCTTCTTAAGATCCGCGTGTATGTCTATGCTGTGTTTGGCTCCCTGTATGTCGTCTGCAAAATCCTTACGCGAAAGATCTTCTTGTAAATCGTCTAATCGATCCAATAAATCGGCAGCTTGCCAAACGAAATCTTCGACGGCCTATAACAAAATGGCGACGGGAAAAACATTAGCGTCTTCGTCACATTAAAATTTCGGGAAAACCTTTTGACCTTTTTTTAAAAATTTTACTCACGAGTCTCATTTCGATCCATTGTGTGTGATCGTAATGATAGGTCCCCTCGAGATCGGCAGTGAGCTGAGACGTGTCGATGATTTTGGGCAACGACTCCAAACCTATTACGTTGGTCTGGAAAAACAAGAAAACAAAATGGCCGACGGTAAATAAATCGAACGCACACGCGCATCCTCTCCATTCACGCACCGTGTCATTTCGTAGAAAATAATAATGATAATAAAAAAAAGGAAATTTAAAATTTTACGATTGACGGTGTACGAAAATTTAAAAAAAACTTTTACAACAAAAACGCGCGAACCAAAACGGACAAAAATCGATCAATCAATCAATCAATCAATTAATCTCTCTACCTTAACCCAGGTTCAGAAGTATAACGTTTTTTTTTCTCAAAGGTTCGCGGGGGGGGGGAGGGAATAAATAAATCACAATCGCGGAAGTTAATGATGAATGACGTCACGATGAAAAAAGCCGTCGATACCTGTCAAAATCTTTCTTAACTTTTTCTTTTTTTATTTTCTTTCGGTAAAAAAAATTTTCTTTTCGATTTTGACGCGTGGTGAAAATGGTGGTGGTGCCAAAGATTTATTTATTTCTTTACCCCCCCCCGGCAGCCGCGCACCATCCGCACCTCTAATCAAATCTCGTTTTTCTAGAAAACTTTCGAAAAAATTTTTTTTTTTTTTTTTTTTTTTATTTGAATCGTTTATAGCAGTCGAACAAATTTCTACGCCGTCGGATGATCGATTATGACCGTTAAAAAAAAAAAATTTTCATCATTTTTCGAAAAGGCACATATCGGTATGCGTACGACGAAGACGAAATTAAAAAAAAAAAAGAAAAAGGAGGGGGAAGGGGGGCAAAGAAACGGAAAAATGTAAAGAAAGAAAGAAAGAGAGAAGAAAGAGAGAGAGAGAGAGAGAGAGAGAGAGAGAGAGGGAGGGAGAAAGAGAGAAAATCTAGCGGAATTTTTTTTTTTTAAATGCAAAAGATAAACCTTTGAATAAATAAAAAAAAGAAGAAGAAAAGGAAAAAAGGAAACAGAAAAAGGAAAAAAATTGAGGGGAAGTATATGTAAAAAAATACGTATGGAAAAAAAAATATTCAGCAATTAAAATTCTTCTTAAATCCCTACAAAAAAAAAAATTCCCTCTCCCCGCATATTCCTCCCCTTCCCCCTCAAAAAAAAGAAGAGGGACAAAAACCGAAGGAAGAAAGAGAGAGAGAGAGAGAGAGAGAGAGAGAGAGAGAGAGAGGAAATGAATTTTCAGTTTGAAAAATACGTGATGGAAACTTTTTTTTCTTCCCTAGGAAAACTTCGAACACGACGTCAACCTTTTTTTTTTCTTTTTGCATTTCCTTTTTTTCTAATCCTACCGCCTTTTCTAAACCCTTTTTCTTCCCCCCCTTCCCCCCTCTCCCTTTTTCTGTCTCATTTATTTCCCAACCGGAAAAATTAAAAAACGTGACGAAGAATTATTATTTAAAAATTTCTGTTCATCTATGACGGCACCGTGATGACTCAAACGCCATCTTTTCCGTACGATTTGTTTGTTCACAGTGAGACCTTTTATCGCGAAAAAAAAAAAAAAAACCCGCGTAACCGCGTTTGTGGAAAATCCCATAGAGAGAGATGTTTATAAAAAACATTTACCTCGAATTTATATTTGTGACTAGCTAACGATGTTCGTTGCTTTTGCCAAAAATTATCCGGTTTTATTATGTAAGCAACGTGAACGTATCCGGAAAAATGTTCTTGTAAAACTTTCAATATGGGTTTGACGGTTCCCCACGTGGCTCCTCTCATGTCCACGACGACGGTAAATCCAAGCTCTTTAACGTCACCGCTGGAACGAATAAAACAAAAATATTAATAATAATAATAATAACAACGGTAATAATTATTACGTGATTCGATTAGAATTAATGCAAATCCATCGTCATCTTTCTTTCGAAAAGAAAATCCCGGGAGGGAGGAAGGGAGACCAGAAAAGAGGGCGGAAGCGGGGGCGGGGGACGAGCGGGGAGAAAAAAAGGAAAACAAACGAAACGTAACGAAAACAATCCATGTTGAAAAGTGCGAAAAATAATTTTTTTTTTTTTTTTTTTTTTAAAAAAAAGCACGTTCCCGTAATTATTGTTAAAAATAAATATGAATCCACGTTTTTTGGATTAGACTTTCGAAAACATACGTGACGATTTTCTTCGCAGCTGGCGATTCAATTTGACGGGAGGGGAGGGAGGAGGAGGAGGGAAAGAGGGAGCCGGAAGGGAGGCGGGGACGGTGGGGGGGAGTACGAAACAAACAAAAGTGGATAATGAAAATTCATTTTTAATTTTCCTCTTATCAACCCTTTTCTTTCCTCTTACCTCCCCTCCCGCCTCCCCCCATCTCTCTCTCTCTCTCTCACACACGAGAAAAAAAATCAATTTATTAAAAAAAAAAAAAAAAAAAACCTTTTCGATTAACTACACAAACCTTTTAATTAAAAATAAATATGAAAGCGCGTTAAAGTAATAATAATAATAATAATAATAATCATAAAATAGGCGCGAGTGCGCGCGAACGAAAAAAAAAAAATCGGGCAACAAGTCGAAAAAATTTAAACTTCATCAAATTCAATCCTTTTTTCATTTTTTTTTTTATTTCTGAACAAACAATATTTTATCTCTCTCACACCTGCCAACTTTTGTTTAAAAACATTCGAAATAATATTTTTTTTTTAAACTTGCCTCGTATATTTTCCCATTCTCTCTCTCTCTCTCTCTCTCTCTCTCTCTCTCTCTCTCTCTCTCTCTCTCTCTCTCTCTCTCTCTCTCTCTCTCTCTCTCTCTCTCTCTCTCTCTCTCTCTCTCTCTCTCTCTCTCTCTCTCTCTCTCTCTCTCTCTCTCTCTCACACACACACGCACTCGTTCATTTTCTTTCTAATGCCACTGGAAAACTTTCAAAATAATTTCAAGATTTCAGGATTTTGAAATCCTTCGGAGAAAGAGAGAAAGAGAGAGAAATTATTATGTTTATATTTTTCTTTCTTTCTTTCTGTGAATGACGTGAAAATATAATAATAATAATAATAATAATAATAATAATAATAATAATAATAATAATAATAATAATAATAATAAATTCATATTTATGATAAATGATATTTAAAAAAAAAATGACGTGGGAGGAGACTCACCAAGGTATGGCTAAAAGATACTGCAGAAGTCTTCTGTAGTCATCCGGCTTGGCACGTTCCCGCCTTGGCGTCGCCGGAAATGACAAGACGGGTCCTCCTCGGCGATCTCGGCCCCCTGTTAAAACGGCCAATCGCTCCTGGAGCAAATTCATGACGTCAAGAGCTCTTAATCCATCCATCGCTCCGAAACTGGAGAAAGAAAACAAAAAAAATTTTTTTATTTATTCGTCGCATAGGAAACAAACAACAAACACGAAAAATAATTTCCGGAAGTGAACATTTAAAAAAAATTTCAATAAGGTTGATAAACCTGAATGACCCCCATTAAAATACTAATACTAATAATAATAATAATAATAATAATAATAATAATAATAATAATAATAATAATAATAATAATAATAATGATGATGACAAGAATAAATAAATAAAGAATATCGAAAGCTAGAGTAGTCCGTCGGACGACATTAGGTTCCTACTTTTTTCTTTTGACATTTAAATTTTAAAAAAAATTCATTCGAACGTTTCAGGTTTCCGTCGAATAATTAATACCGGAAGAAAGAAAGAAAGGAAGCAGAAGAAAAAGCAGAAGAAAAAGAAGAAGCAGAAGAAGAGTCGTTATAAAAAAAAATTTCCAACTGCATTTCCTTTTCGTGAATAATTTACAAATTTTTCTATTTCCGTACAAATCCGAACGGGTTTTCTCTCTCTCTCTCTCTCTCTCTATTTAAGTGGATGTGTGTGAGAGAGAGAAAACAAAAATTTCAAAACGTTTGTTTATTCGTTAAAAAAACAAACAAACAAACAAACAAACTTTTTTTTTTCAAATCGCGAGTTTTAAATTTATTTTCGTTTTTCTAACGTTTTTCTAACGAATTCGCGAACGTAAAACGTCAAATTTAAATTTAAATTTTAAAAAAATTCACGTTCGAAACGTTCGTTTTTAATAATATCAATAAAATTAATGCAGTACGAATTTATTTTCTTTTTCTTTTAAACTAACGACTCGTAAATAAATTTAAATAAAAATAAAATAAAAAATTACGATGTAATTTTTTTCCATTACGTAAAATATTACCGCAAATGACAAAATGGCGACAAAATGATTTTTTTTTTCTTTTCTCTTTAATTACGTTTAGCATTATCGTCACCGTCATCGTCATCGTCACCGTCGTCGACGTCATCGTCATCGCCGTCGTCGTCATAATTTTCCATAATTTTTTCGTTTCCACAGATTCGTCAATTACTCTAATTATCTTTTACATCATAAACATTTTCTTTCTTTCTTTTTTTTTGTTCAAACGGTTGAATATATTAACGACCATTAATCGACCGAAAGAAAAGCTCTTTCCCGAGTCTCCCCGATCCTTTTTTTTGCCTCCCTCCCTCCCTTCCTCCCTTCTGAAGTTTTCGTCGTGTAACACCTGTACGTATAAAAACAATCATCCCTCGTACTCTCGCTTCGTGTATAAACAAGACGGATTATTATTATTATTATTACCCGGCTGGCTGTCTGACCACCGACCCTCTCTTCTTCTTCCCTCTTTCGTCACTTTGTTTAAAAAAAAGTAATTAAGAATTCATTTCCATTTCCGGTCCGGTTTGAACCGCAAGCACACGAGTCCCCGATAAATAAATAAATAAAAATTTCATTTGTTTCTCATTGAAACGAATTCGCTTCGTGTTACGTAATCGCATCCATCTTGATACCTTCGCGACCGTTTTCCCCCTCCCCCCTCCGTTTTAATTTTCTCTCGAAATTAATAATAATAATAATAATAATTCGCATTAAAGTTAATTACTAACGTGCCTGAGAGTGTGTGTGCGTGGAGATTTCCAGTCAAGTCCAATTCCGACGGGAGATTAACGACCGACATTACGAGTTAGGTATAATTGTGCCGGACGACGCACCTGACGACACGGAAAACGATACGTAATAAACAAGTTGCATATCAGAAAGACTCCCCGCAGGAGAAGAACAAAAAAAAAAAAAAAACGAGAAAGTGGAAACTTTCAAACGGGCGGAACGAAAAGGGGGGGGGAAATGATATCATCGACACCGTGTCAACAGCACCGGAACGAACGAACTCGTGCCACGAAAATTAAAGAACATTCGTCGAAAGTTTAAATAATAATAATAATAATAATAATAATAATAATAATAAACGATACATTTAACTTACGTTACGATTCTCAATGGTGGAACTTTAAAAAAAATCAAAATACCCGTCGTCAAAGTGAGCGACATCACACACACCCACTACTGCCACGATTTTTTCAACGGATTAGCGACACAAGGGAAAAAATTCCGAAATTTTTTATCATAACCGCGACTTTTAAAACGTCCTTTCACGTTTCGACACGTTCTCTTATCTACTTCCAATAATTTCTACTGGAATGAAAGACGGAGAGAGAAAAAATTGTTGAAATTTCGTAGGTCAGGAAATGATAATAAATCGACCGGTTTTTCCCCCTTCCCCTCCCTCTCGAGGTGAGGTCAAAGATGCATTGGAAATTTCTACAAAAAATTTTTTTTTCTCATTTCTTTCGCCTTATCTCCTCCCCCTTCTCTCCCCATCCTTCCCCTCGATGGCAATCACCTTGACGAAATAGAAAATTAAAAACGGTTACGAAACATGTTTTTTTTTTTTTTTTTCTAATTTAAACTCGCAAGATTCGCCACACTTGTACGAAAAAAACAACGATGATAATAATAATAATAATAATAATAATAATAATAATAATAATAATAATAATAATAATAATTTCATGTAAATTACGCAATCACGAAAGTAATTAAAAATCTTTTCTACGAACCAAACGGCAAATAACTTGCATAATAGTACTCACCCTAAGAGCCAGCCATATGATTTGACAAATGGTCACGATCAACAGACGACATCGAACCTGAAAAAAAAAAAAAAAAAGGAAAAACGTCACGAAATTAAAAATAAATTTTAAAAACGGGAATTTCTTCTTCGACGCGACGAACGAAATGTCGGAAAATCCTCCGCCGCCGCCGCCGCCGCGATGCAACAGCAGAAGAAAACAAAACACGTGTGTGTGTGCGTGCGACGCACATTCGAGAAAGGAAAACAAAAGGAAAAATTCACGTTGATAATGATAATGATTAAATATACAAATCCGTAGAAAAGGAAAAACGCAGAAAGAGAGAGATAGAGATAGATAGAGAGAGAGAGAGAGAGAGATAGAGATAGATAGAGAGAGAGAGAGAGAGATAGAGATAGATAGATAGAGAGAGAGAGAGAGAGAAAATCATCTTTCATTTTCTCATAGTTAACAAAAAACTCTTTCTTATTTTTTTCTCGTCGATCGGTTGTTGTTTGTTTACAACCCGTTAATGACCTTAAGTCGCATCATCAACAACAACAAAAATTTTCTTTTTACGCCCTTTTTTTCTTCTTACATTTTCGATGCATTTCAAAGGTCAAAACACTTTCACAGTCAAAGGTTTTTAGAATAAATTAACGGGGAAAAAAAAAAAAAAATGGCCTCATACATCAGGTGTGTGCGACCAGACAACCGGTGTAAGATAAACAAAACAACAACAACAACACGAAATTTTTTTTTTTTGTCGCGTGAGAAAGTTTTTTTTTTTTTTTCCGTTTTCGCCGATAATGATGATAATAATAAT